TTTATCTTTAATGTAAATACAAGTGTTTGCATTTAACTCTAACATATTCTGTTTGTTTCTTATATGTTATGCTTCTTTGGCTTCTTTTTTAATTAAATATATTAATTATTTTGAGAGAGAGAGAGAACAAGTAGAGGAGAGGGGCAGAGAGAGAGAGAGAGGGAGAGATTGAGATAGACTCTTAAGCACCTATGCAGGGCTCAATCCCACTACTCATGATCTGAGCTAAATGAAGAGTCTGACTGAACCATCCAGGGTCCCCAAATTAAATATATTATTACTCCATTTTCTTTTCTGTTAGTTTTCTAATGAAACATTATTTGGCTGATCTTATAGAGGTTACCCTAAATTATAACATCCTTCCTTAATTTATTAAATTTCTAATGTAGATTAGTACTTGTATCACTTCCTATACCTTAAATTATGTTTATGGCCATCCTTCCCCCCTCACAACTTGGCTGTGGTTCTCAAATATTGTGTTTATCATACATGATAAACACTTAAACACAGTATTGCTATTATGCTATTACTTTTCTATAAAGACAAGCTTTCTTAACTGACTGAGCCACTCAGGCACCGCTATAAAGACAAGCTTTCTTAATTATCCACATTATTACTTTTTCCATTGCTCTTTCTTCCTTCTAACATCTATTACTTTCCATCTGGGATCATTTTCTGTTTGTGTGGAGCGCTCCACTATTATGAGTCCGTTGCCGATGGAATGACATTTTAAAATGTATTCATTTTGCTTTTATTTTTAAAGGCAATTTTCACTGGGTAAAGATACTAGAAATAGGCATTTTAAAGCTTTTTGGAGATATTCCAAATATCTGGCTCTCATTATTTCAGTTGAGGAGTAAGTCAGTTATATTGTTGGTTATTTGAGACAATGTATCCCTTCTCTAACTGCATTGTAGATTTTTCTCTTTTTATTTGGTTTTCAGCAGTTTGACTATGATGATCCTAGGTATGATTTTTTAAAAGGTATGTTTTGTTTGGAGTTCATGTGTATTTTGTCTGTGATTTGATACCTTTTCACGGATTTAAGAAGATTCTTAAATATGATTCCTTTATATATATTACTTCAGTCCAATTCTTCCCTTTTCTTCAGGGACCCAGAGTACACCTATGTCCAGTTTCTCTATGATGACTCATATGTCTCCTATGTTTTGTACTGTTTTTGTTCTTATTGCATTATTTTCCATCCTATATTCTCTCTAATTGCCTATGTAGATATATTCTATCAACTTATAATATTCAGTTTCTAATCCTTTTCAGTTGTGTCTTGTTGGATTTTAAGTCTATCGAATTCCAAGCTTCAGATAATGTATGTCCATTTGAAATAAAAAAAAAAAAAAGATTTGTGTTCTCCATTGATAGTCTCCATTTTGTTGTTGAATTTTTAAAAAATAATTAATTACAATTATATTAAAGCCTGTCTGACACCTACAATATCTTGGTTTGTTATGTCTGTTTCTATTGTGTTTTTTCTCTTGGTCTTCAGTCATTTGCTCTTTTCCCCTCATATGCCTGGTAACTTTTGATTTATTTTGACAGATACTCTTTAGGGAAAAATTCTAGAGAAAATCTGAGTCTCTAGATTTTGCGAACATCCTACAGAAAACACTTTCCTTTGCTTCTGACCAGCAGTTAGGCTAGGGGCAAATCATTTTAACCAAAATAGGAATTTGTCATTTTGAAGTTGGTTTTCAGTCTTTTCCAGAGCTTGCCTCTTTTGGGCTGATGTTACTCATAGGTTACAACCCTGCAGTTTTCTCATATGAAATCTTAGATGTTTACCAGGATTCTTCCTTCATGGTGTGCCTTGAACATTAACTCTGGTCTCCCCAATCCTTTGAGACTGCCAAAAATCTGCTCAGTGCTGACTACAAATCAGCAAATGCCTTGAAGAGAAAAGCAGATGTGAATGTCAAGCTCATAGTCTCTTTTTGTTTTTAATGTTTATTCATTTCAGAGAGAGAAAGAGAGAGAGAGAGTGGGGGAGAGGCAGAGAGAAAGGTAAACAGAATCTGAAGCAGGCTGCAGTCTCTGAGCTGTCATCACGGAGCCCCATATGGGGCTTGAACCTGTGAACCATCAACATCATGACCTGAGCTGAAGTCAGATGCCCAACTGACTGAGCCACCCAAGAGCCCCCATATTCTCTTGTGGATCATGGCTTTTCAAGCTGTTATGTTGATAGGTCTCCAGTGCTTTCAAACAGATTTGCAAATATATTAATATAATTAGCTTTTGTAGTTGTTTTGTCAAGCAGGGAGAGTTCTGGTAATAGCTTGCCTATGATAGCTGTAGAAGGAACAGCAAAGTTCATACTCTTAGTCACTGCTATATGCTGCCTCTTAAACAGACAATTCAAGAGAAGACCCAGTCCTTCAAAAATTTATAACCTGGTTTGGAGAAAAAGTCATAGAGAGAACTCTTTTCTAATAATACAATATTATAATATGGTTATACAGTAAATTAAGTTTAAAGAATTTGAGTCCATGGACCACGTGTAATTAATTTTTATATCCTAAGTAAATGTTTGATAACATTTGTTGAATTTAGTAGATATGAATACAATACTCTAAGAGTTTAGAGTAGAGTTGGAAGATTGTGTGAGCTACAGCATCCTTACCTAGATCACAAGGGATAATTATAAGGTTTGGGCTAGTTGAGGAGAGAAGAAAGTAAGTTAAGTTGGAGGATGAAACAGAGGCTAAGCCTAAAGAGAAAGCTGGCAGGCTTAGAAGACAATGAAGATACCAGCCTGTCTATAGCAAAGGGTTTGTTTTATGAAGTAAGTACTAGATGGAGTACAGCCATGTGGTGGGAAATGGTGAATACTAGATTGTGGGTGTTGATTTTCTTCTATGGGCAAAAGGGTTTTCAGACTACTTCCATGGAATGTTCTTAGAAGTTAAGCCAAAAGAAGAAGTAAATATAAAAGACCTTGAGGTTTGGGAAACATTGGTTTAGCAGATTTGTTTACTGAAAGATTTCTTTGAACTCTGAAAATATGCATTGTAAATTTCCAAAATTGTTCAAACTCAGCACACTCTTGCTTATAAAGGAAGAGCCCTTCCTGGAACATATTTTGGGAAATTAGGATATGTGGGCATTGGTGAAACACTGGCTGGAATGTTATGAGATCGTGAAAGGCCCGTGAAAGCTGGGGCTTTCCTGGTATTGTTCACAGTTCTACTGCTTGCTCTGAGAATATGTAGCAAAAGTATTTTCTCAGTATATACTAAATGAGTGATTTTTTGGCTTTAGCAGGGGAGAGAAAAATGAGATCAGGATGAAGTTTGTGTTTTAGCAAGATTAATCTGATAATTCACTATAGAATAGAATATGAGGGAAAGAGGCTAGAAACTGAAATGTTAAAAAAGAAGCTAATAAAGTCTTCCCAACTTAAAATTTTTCTTCTTGGACTGTGGCGACATCCTTGAGAATGGAAACTAAAATGGATAACAGTGCTGTTTTGTCAAGAGAAATGACAAGATTTGATAAATTAGTTGCAGGAAGAAGTAAGTTCTCAAGGTACTCAAAGAGTTTGGCTCTGAGGATAGTGGAGCCACTATAGGGCAGAAGGGGTTTCCTCATTGTTTCTTACTATAGCCTAATGATCTGATGGATGGGGTTTTGAAGGAAGTCTCCAAAACCGTGAAATTTTACTTGATGTCTATTTTATGTTTCAGAACTTTATGTGTAGAAAAACAGCACATTTTGAAACAGTGAAGCTAATGAAGGGAAGAGTTTGAATGGGAGATACAGGGGAAAAACCCTGTTTTTAAAAATCATGCTGAGTTTGGGGCACCTGGGTAGCTTAGGTACGTGGCCAACTCTTGATGTCAGCTCAGGTCATGATCTTGCAGTTTGTGAGATCGAGCCCTGCATCAGGCTCCGAGGTGACAGCAAGAGGCCTGCTTGAGACTCTCTCTCTCTCCATCTCTCTGCATTTCCCCTGCTCGTGATTGCTCACACTCTCTCTCAAAAATTAAAAAAAAAAAGCTACATTAAAAAAATCATGCTGAGTTTGACTGAAAGCAAGTATGTTGTGCAAAGAGTCTGACTTAGCCCACAAAGCTGCTTTTCTGCCAGCTCAATAATTCTATAACAGCTGCATATAAAGTATGTTAATTAAAACATTTGAAATTTATGGTAATTAAGATTGGGCAATTATTTTAAGCTACTTCTCTTCCAAAAGAAAACAGAGTATTCTATGATTATCAACAAGAGGGTCTTGGATTTGAGGAATGAACAGGTTATGAGATTGGAAATACATGTTCTGTCTAGTCTAGATATTCCAAGAGTCAAAGTCTAGGAAAACTCTGACTACTACCATCACCTTCTATGTCTGATCAAACCTAGTGAGTCCCAAGGGAGCCGACTTCCTTAGCTCAGAAGAGGCAGGAGATGGAATGGAAGCCATATAGACCTCAGACTCACAGACTTGGATTTAAATCCTAGAGGGAATAAGTTGCTTGCTTTTTAGTCTACTTATCCATAGAGTAAGAACAGTGATTATTTCACAGGATGGTGGTAAAGATTAAAAAAGGTATAGAATGACTAGTACTATAAGCACTATGCGTGCAAATATACATGAATAAGTGAAAATAAAATGGGTACTGTGTTGTAACCTCTTAAATACACCTACCAACCAACCAGATTTTCTTTTCATCTGAAAACAAAATCATGTATCATGTGGTTGACATTAATCTAGGGATCTTGAGAGATGCTACATTTGTGATGATGGCAGCCAGTGATAGTGAAATGATGTAATACCATACGGAAAACTATTCAAAAATATTTCCAAAGGTTGTATATGTAAAATAGGGCAGTTATACGGCTCAGGTGTTGATGGAGCTAGAAGAAGTTTTCCTTGCTGGAAAAGCTGTAAGTATGTAGGTAGTAATGTCAGGAATCTGAAGTAAATCTAAACAGCAAAACTTGGTTTTCATTAATTGTAACGTAATCTCCCTTTTCCATTGCACCAGCGAGAAGAAGCTCATTACAGATGCCCTCAATAGGAATCAGTTTCTGAAGAGATTGGATCCTCAGCAGATCAAAGACATGGTGGAATGCATGTATGGTAGAAACTACCAGCAAGGGAGTTATATTATTAAGCAAGGAGAACCAGGAAACCACATCTTTGTGCTAGCAGGTGGGTTTCACAGGTTTTTCCAGTTCCAGTTCTTACATAACAAATATTTTGCCTATTGTTTTATGATTTTTTTGCAAACATTTATAAAAATGCAAAACCAGTTGCTCTGTACAAAACCATAACAGAACGAGCTCATGAAATAGTAACATTGTTGATCTAATCATAACGGTGATAATATTTACTGAGTGCATTTTATATGTGAAGCAGCCTATTGAGCACTTAATATTGAGATCTCATTTCATCTTCTCACCAACTCTGTTAGGTAAGTGCTGTTATCGCCATATGACTCATGTGGATTTTGCCACAGAAAAGTTACGTACTTTATGCAAGGCCACAAAGCTCTTAAGTGGTGGAGGTAGAATGCAAATTTAGACAATCTGACTTGAGTCCGTACTTTTAATCACAATGCACTTTATCCAGCAACTGCAAAAAGGTGTTTCTATTTAAAATACTGCTGCTTATGTTGACATTTTTAGGATGTTGTAGCAGGATAAAGAAAACAATTGTTTTTGTGGTTCTGTAAAATATTTTGGTTATATACGAATGCTTTCAGAAGATCACTTCGGTACATGTAACCAACATGTGCATCAAATGGAATGCCTTAAGATTAAAACGGGTGTGTTTAGAACCATTTGAATGGTTTTATCCATATACAATTACAGGAACATGTTTATATGCTGGGTAGATTTTAATAATCAGATAGGCAAAGGATTTCTTAAATGCATATCAAATGCATACCTATAGTGGTACTCAAAAAATGATTTTAGACATAGAGACAAGAAGTTATCTGAACAGAGTGTATATTTATTGAACACCTTCTCAACTTCTGAATTGTCCCAACTTTTTGAGTTTCAGGGGAAATTTAAAGTGGCTTCCTCAGATGGAGTGGTAAACTGAGACATCTTTGGCCTTTTATTTTATACTATAGTTCCTGGCAATCTTCGAATGCTTTCATGCTTCTTGTCTCCTTGGCGGCCTTAGGTGTAGTGAGGAAGTTGCCTATCCAACCAAATTAATAAACATGTATTGTTCTACTGTATAAAAGATTATTTTCATATGCTCTGATTCTTTAGACATGCTAGTTTCATAAATATTGGTGTTTATTTGCCGTAAACATCTCTGTAGATTATATTTACAGTCGTTCTCAAGTAATTATTCACCCAAGGATTATTTTAATTCTATGATCTGAATTTAGCCGACCTTCAAGTTTTTAGGGAGAGATGACCCAGAGAAATTTCCCCTTCTTTCAACTTTTCTCTTGGCCATTTCACTTCTACTTCAGCAACACCAGACATTCTGTCATGAAAAGATAAATTATTAACTCAGCAAATTTTTATGGAAGCTGCTAGGAAAAGATGGGAAACTCATGTCAGCCCATTCTGTTTCTTGCTAGTAACTCCAGTGAAAGACTAGGAAGAGGAGAGTTAGAACAGAAGCCAGTATCAATACAGTCATTGAGATCAGGGGTACAGCACACATGGAAATGAAAATTAGACAGTTTCTTATTTGAATTAATTATGGCGTTATCTAAGGACTGACTTGCCTGGTTTAACTGAGCAAATTAGTTAATTAAAAATTTCCCCTTTATAATATACAGCATGAATAACAAATAATAAAAGCATATTTAACCTAAACTTTGGTGTTCCATATAATTCTTCAGTATTTCCCAAGGCCCATGGGTCATACTCAAATAGAAAAAATACTTGAAATGCATTAAGATCCATGATATAAACTTGACAGCACCAGTAAGTGGCTTCAATTTAGTTGTAATGGAATTTAGTTGTAATGAGAAATTATTAAATTTTATATTGTATCTGTAGGATTTGGAGCCAAAATGGAGCTTTTTTTCTTACTACAGTATAAGTTTGATCAGAATAAGTAACTAAAAAATGTTTTTAATGTTTTTATTCATTTTTTGGGAGACAGAGTCAGAGTGATGTGGGGGAGGGGCAGAGAGCGAGGGGAAACAGAATCTGAAGCAGATTCCAGGCTCTAAGCTGTTAGCACAGAGCCCAACAGGGGGCTCCAACCCAGGAACCACAAGATCACGACCTGAGCCGAAGTTGGCCACTTAACCTACTGAGCCACCCAGGCGCCCCCAGAATAAGTATCTTTTGTGTCTCGTCCACTGTCTCTCTGGCAGTTGTACTACTTCCTGCTACGACATAGGTACTCAAATCAGATTTGGTGAATGAGTGACTGGGCAGAGATGACCCAGAGCTGCTTAGTGGTAAATGAGGAGAAGGAAAGATGAACTCTTCAAGGGAAAGAGAATAACCCACCATTTTCCCCCCTCTAAGAATGTAAGTCTTTTTTGCATGTAACTTTTTGTTAGGTAAGGTTTTATTTACACTCATTCAAAGGAAGAGGAGAAGAGAATCACTGGGGCCAGAGAATTGTGAGGAGGTTGCCTGAAATACTGCCACTCCCTTTCCCCAGCTCTTGCCTTGATAAAAATTAGTGTCATGCACTCTTCTTTCTCATGTTTATAAGACTTTATTTTTTCTAGTTTTTTTTCTTTATTTTTTCTAGTTTTCTAGTTGCAGTTTTAGGTATGCAACAAAATTTGGAGGGAGATCTAGAAATTTTTCCATATAACTCTTCTCCCCACACAACCATGGCCTCCACCATTATCAACTCTCACCAGAATGGTGCTTTTTTTTTTTTCTTTCTTTTAATCAAGGCAGAACCTATACTGATGTGTCATCAAAGTTTACCATAGGGTTAACCCTTGCTTTTGTACCTTCTATGGGTTTAGACAAATGTATAATGACATTTATCCGTCATCATAATATCATGCAGAGTGTTTTCAACATCCTAAAACTTCTCTGTGCTCTGCCCGTTCATCTACCCCAACCCTGTCCCTGGCAACTACTGATCTTTTTTTTTTTTTTTTAATGTTTTATTTATTTCTGAGAGAGAGACAGCGTGATCAGGGGAGGGTCAGAAAGAGAGAGAGAGACACAGAATCCAAAGCAGGCTCCAGGCTCTGAGCCAGCTGTCAGCACAGAGCCCGACGTGGGGCTCAAACCCACAAACCGTGAGATCATGACCTGAGCTGAAGTCAGATGCCCAACTGACTGAGCCACCCAGGCACCCCACTACTGATCTTTTCATTTTCTCCATAGTTTCCCCTTTTCCAGAGTGTCATATTGCTGGCATTATAGAGTATGTAATGTCGCCTTTTTAAATGGAATTCTTTCACTGAGTAATATGCACTTAAGGCCCCTCCTTGTCTTTTTGTGGTTTGATAGTTCTTTTTTTTTTTTTTTTTTTTTAAGCAGCAGGCAAAGTTTATTAGAATACAAGATTAGAAAGGAAGAATAGTAGCAAAGCCCTCGATCTCTTTACAAAGAGGGGACATTCGAAAGTGAATGCCCCAATGGCTCATTTCTTTTTAAGAACTCAATAATATTCCATTGGCTGGATGTACCACAGTTTCTCTGTTCATCCATTGAGGACAACTTGGTCATTTCTAAGTTTTGGCAGTCATAAATAAAGCTGCTACAAATATCTGTGTGCAGGTTTTTGTGTGGATCAGAGTTTTGAACTCGTTTGGGTAAAATGCTAAGGGGGCAATCGCTGCACTATATGGTAAGAGTATGTTTAATGTTGTAAGAAAGTGCCAAACTTTTCCAAAGTGACTGTCCCATGTTGCATTCCCACTGGCAATGCAGGAGAGTTCCCCTGGCTCCACATGTTCACTAACACTGGAGACTGTCAGTGTTCCAGATTTTTTGCCATTCTACAAGGCATGTAGTAGTATTTTCTTGTTGTTTTCATATGCATTTCTCTGATGATGTATGGTGTGAGGCATCATTTCATATGCTTATTTACCATCTGTCTATCTTCTTTGGTGAGCCTCTGTTAGTCTCTTTGGCCCACTTTTTAATCAGATTGTTTTCTTGTTGTCGAGTTGTTAGAAGTCTTTATATATTTTGCAGAACATTTTTGATCAGATGTGTCTTTTTGCAAAAATATTTTCTCATAGCCTGTGGCTTGTCTTCTCATTCTCTTGATTTTGTTTTTTGCATGCACTTTCTTAGCAACTGTCATTTATTACTTCATTTCAGTGATTGAGGGGCTAGACAACCATGCATGTATGGTGAAGTGACTTACGCAAGGTTACACAGCCAACGATTGGGCAGAACCAGGCTGTCAGTGCATTTCTAGTTAACAAGTTAGTCTGTCCCTTTGTGTGGACAGCTAGTGTGTTTTCAAGATATACAGTAATTCTTGTGTTCCTTGGACAAGAGAAATAGTTTTATGTGCTACATTTTCATGGGGTTGAATGAATTTTAAATATAACACTTGCCATCCACTGCTTGCAGGAAAGAACTTTGTAGCAATGACAATATTAGCTAACACTAACATAGCATTTTCCACATGTTAGCCATTGTTCTAAGTTTCCTGCCTATGTTAACTTATTTAATGCTCACGACAACTGTCCAAGGTAAATATTATTATTATTATTATTATCCCCATTACCGACAAAGGACCCCAGGCAGAGTAGGTAACCGTTTCTTTCAATGTGATCAGCTAATAGTGAGTAAAGGGGAGAGCTGCTTTCAGTCTATTCTGTCAATCACTATATTATAAGGAGAATCCTAAGAGATATTGCCTGTATGCTTTGTGTACTTGCTGATTGTCTTACTTTTATAATTTATTTGGATTATTTGTGTTTTTCCTAAATTCTGCTTGACAGAGGGTCGACTAGAGGTGTTCCAAGGGGAGAAATTGCTATCATCCATCCCTATGTGGACCACATTTGGGGAACTAGCCATTTTATACAACTGTACAAGAACTGCCTCTGTGAAAGGTAACAGAGGATGAAATGCTCTATTTTTGAATTGTTACACAATGTTTATGACAATTTAAGTCACTGTTGAATGCTGAGTATTTCTGTCTCCCATTGTGCCCTGTGTGCTTTTGTTAATAGAAATGCTATGCTTATAAAAGGATTTATATTGAAGCACTTGTCTAAATAATTCAAATTTAAGAGAACTTTTCTATCGGGTGCCTGCATATGAAATATGAAAATGGCTTTATATTATTGAATTATTCCAATGTTTGCTATAATTGCCACTTCATTTTTCTTCTCTGTAAACACTTGCCTTTGGTTCATCCAGAATGTTTGCTTTTCATTCTCCGTGATGTTCCTATCATATTATAAACCAGAAAAATTAATGAAACCAATGAAAATATATAAATATCCAAAAGGAGGTGAAGTAATTAACAAGAGTTTTCATGAGTGACTTCTGGGATTAGTTTAAGGGTTCCTGTTTTTATGGATTTTATTCATAATAATCTTGTGCAGAAGTACTTAGATGTGTTTCTCAGTGTTTAGGACTGGGTTAAGTGTCACAGAATTGCTGTAGTTTTGATTTTAAAAATGCAGATTCTGGGGCTTCACTCCAAACACAAATCAAAATCTCTGGCAATGGAGCCTAGGGATCTGATTTTTTTTACTTTTTAAATACTTATTTATTTTTTAGGAGGGGTGGGACAGAGAGAGGGGTACAAAAATCTGAAACAGGCTCAAGACTGCGAGCTGTCAGCACAGAGCCCGATGTGGGACTTGAACCTGTGAACCGTGAGATCTTCACCTGAGCCAAAGTTGGATGCTTAATCTATTGAGACACCCATGTGCCCCATAAAGATCTGTATTTTTAATAAGACTGTCAAGATAAATCTAATTCACTCCCAAGTTTAGTAAACCAAAGCTTTGGATTTTGATTTATTTTATAGGCTCTCATTACTTCTTTTTTTAAAAAAATTACAATTGTAATTTCATCTAGATTTTTTAGAGCTGTTACTTCTGTTCTTCTTCCTTGTTAGATTTTATTCTTGCTTTTCCACGTCTTTCCTATAAAAGAGTCTCAAACACTGTCTTGCATAATTTCCATGAAAATGATTTGTATGCACTTTATACAAAAGTAACCATAGAGATCCTTAAAAATATATTGGCTCTCATTAGCTACAATGTCTGAACAGCATAAAAAGACATAAAAACATACTCATACACTCAGATCTTTAACTTTCAATTATCTGCTTGTGAATTCTTTACTTTCTGGATTAGCTACAGGCTGCCTCGTTTTCTCTTATATCACAGCACAAATCTGAAATACATCCTGATGATGTAGTATGTAATTAGGAATTGCAAACTAATTTTGATATCATCCTAAGCAAAACATAATTAGAAAGGAAATCTTTTGCTACTCACTTCCAAATCATGGTTCGTTTCAAAGCCAAAGATGATTTTATAAAATTACCCACTATTTATATCGCTATTTCCTTTCATTTGCATGTTGAATAATGCAATTTCCAAGAAATATCATTTGATGAGAATACATGAAAAATTTATCAATTAACATTTTGGAATGTTTTCTTAATGTGGGGCTAAACAATATTTTATTATTTTCTTGATTTTTCTAAAGCTATTACCAATGTTAAAACTTGGGCACTAGATCGAGAGGTATTCCAGAATATAATGAGAAGGACAGCTCAAGCTAGAGATGAACAGTACAGAAACTTCCTCAGAAGGTAAGAATAACACATTGTTGGAAAGAGTAGAAGATGGTGTAGTTATATTGTGGATATTTTGTCTTTAACACAATATTACTTTACTAGAACTTTTCTCATTTAAGCATTTCCCACATGACTAAACCAGAGGAACAAAAGTATTCCCTCACCGTAAAGGCCACTATATATATAAAAACATTATATTTAATTCCAACTAGTGTTGCACACTGATTTATTTACTATCTTTCACTAATTGTGCTTTTGTATTAGTGGAGTCCTGGTATATAGTATAAAAAATGTGTAAAAAGTCCTAAGATATTCACCGGGGTTGCTCAGTTGACTTTGAAAGACATCTTACAATCTGGAAGTGGATAGCAAAAGATCATCTTTCTAATAATGCTTTGCTTAGACTAATACTAAAAGTAATTTATATTACTGTCTTCAATGGCTTTACTTGAGTCATTCTTTTTCTCATTTATATAACCACACCATCTTCCAAATTACTATTATTTGTAGCAAATTAACTTGCCAGAAATGTTACTATGTGTGTCATGATGACATAGATCCTTGGTACATATTCTGTGAACTTTTCTGTACCCTCAACAACTCGGATGCATCAGTTTAGAAAGAAACAAATATCTATCTAACTGAAAAAGCCAGTTACCCATATACAAAGATTTTTTTTTTTGAGAATATACATTCTTTATTTAAACTATTTCTGTTTTTTGTTTTTTGTTTTTTTTGGTGGGTGAGGGGGTTTGACAATCTCTAAAACTTCAGTACATACTGTAATGAAATGTTACCTGTGCTAAGTGGTAATAATAAAATATCCTGCAATTTCTAAAAAATAAATTCTAAGCTCTTTTTAATTATAGTGATTTTACTTTGCATAACTAGCCTAGTATATAGTGAGAACTCAATAAGTATTGATTGAATGCCTGGTTAATCATCAGTAGAACATTGCAGGTGTTAAGGGTTCTCCTATAGAATCTTGCTGATTTGCCCTCCCCAGAGATAATAAGGACTCCTGGCAGAGAGCTGCAATAATGATGAGTAAGTGCCTTACCCATATGCCAACCAGTGCCTCAGCTATCATGTTGGAGCTCTACCTGAGTGTAGGTTATCTAAACAGCCAACAACTGAGCAACACAGGTCAGCATTTAAAGCTCATGAACGACACTCATGCAAAGGCCAAACGGGATAATAACTCAACCAGTCCCTGTGGGTTGCCTCTGAATGTGCTCCCCATTCATTCCCCAGCCTCCTACGTGCGTCTCCATGTCTCCATGGAGTGGTCTGTATTCTGAAGCTTGGAAGTCAATCCTTGGTAGTCTTTATTGCTTTTGTCTCTAGCTTGATTCAATTAACCTATTTTTGAACTTAAAAAAAAATGGTTTTATTTTTACAACTCAACTTTTTTTTTCTTATATTGTCAAGTTGGTTTCCATATAACACCCAGTGCTCATCCCAACAAGTGCCCTCTTCCGTGCCCATCACCTCCTTCCCCTCTCCTCACTCCCATCAGCCCTCAGTTTATTCTCAGCATTCAAGAGTCTCTCATGGTTTGCCTCCCTCCCTCTCCCCCACTATTTTCCCCCTTTTTCTCCCCCATGGTCCTCCGTTAAGTTCCTCCTAATCCACCTATATGTGCAAACAAATGGTATCTGTCCTTCTCTGCCTGACTTATTTCGGCCAGCATAACACCCTCAAGTTCCATCCATGTGCTACAAATGGCCAGATTTCATTCCTTCTCATTGCCATGTAGTATTCCATTGTATAGATGAACCACATCGTCTGATCCATTTGTCAGTTGATGGACACTTAGGCTCTTTCCATGATTTGGGTATTGTTGAGAGTACTGCTATGAACATTGGGGTACATATTCAGTCATTTTTTCTATTTTTTTTTCCTATTTCATCCATCTGGTTAGTGCAGTCATTTCTCCTATTGTAGAGTTTGGTTATCTGACTCTACTACAGTGTATTTATCTGTTCTCCAATTGAGGGGTGTCTGCAATTACAAACGATTCTGATACATTCTTAGCCAAGTGTCTTGTGCACATGGGCAAGGATCAACTAGAGTTATTTTTTTTAAATTAGATCCAATTATATATTTTTGGAGTAGAATCATTTTTTTCTTTAGGGGCATCAAGTTTTATATGGTAGGAAACAAGTCTTTATCTTATAGAAATTATGTCAACAGTCCTGAGTTAAAATGGGTAAAGTAGAGGAGACATTTCTTTAAAGGAACAATTTAATCATTTGATTGGTTAATCACACTGAGTGAAATTTCTGATGTTTTTCCCCACATAATAAGTTCCAGTATTCTATTTCATTTCTGTATATTATTACTATCTGTAAAAATGTTCCTATTACATGCCCCTGGCTACTATTAATTTTAAAAGTTGGTACCGTATGATTAATAATCAAGATCATTTCCATGCTAATTCCTACATTCCCCCTGGATTCAGCCTTTACTTAATTACAAAGATTTAGATGAAAATCAGATCCTCCTCAGAAAGCAGAGCTCCTCACTCATGCTAATAAAAGAGGTACTGAGATATGCCAAGAAATGCTTTTCTGGATGTAATTCACTCTGGAAACCAACAACAAATATAAAGTGGTTTTTTTCCCCAAACAGACAAAATTTCATTTTTTTCCCTTATAGTATCGTACTGTCTTTATTTATTTGCCTATGATAAATATCTGTGATTACATGTGGTTATATAATTTCAGTGTATTTGAAATTCAGTTATTTATGTGTGATATATTTTGGAGGTTTATTCTGAAAAAAGTTAAAGTGCCTTACATTTTTTTAGATCAGGTAAAGTTTTTTTTTGAACTACACAGAAGTGCATATTTAATTCAGGAAGATAATTAAAGGTTTCTTTTTAATTTTGAAGTGTATCCTTGCTGAAGAATTTACCTGAAGATAAATTAACCAAGATCATTGACTGCTTGGAAGTGGTAAGAAATTTTAAAGGAAAAAGTACATTTTATTAAAAGACTTTATTAAAATTTTTTTCTTAATGTTTATTTTTGAGAGAGAGGGGCAGAGCATGAGTGGGGGAGGGGCAGAGAGAGAGGGAAACACAGAGTCTGAAGCAGGTTCCAGGCTCTGAGCTGTCAGCACAGAGTCCCACCCAGGGCTTGAACTCATGAACCATGAGGTCAAGTTGGATGCTCAACCAACTGAGCCACCCAGGCGCCCCTTATTAAAAGACTTTATAATCTAGTTATTATTAGCACTGTAAATGAATAAAAAGGAAAAGATCGTAGGTCAGTAGGTCGCCTGTCTCCAGAGACCAGGAGCCTTTTTCTATTGTGTAAAACTTTAGATCAACTCACAGGAAATTAAGGGGCTGGGATGCATTTAGGCCACTTTTCTGAAATGTATAAAAGGAAATTGGATTTGCATGTGTAAAGTGACAGTTGATTTACATACTCTAACCTTTTTAGTATATTTTATGAAACTAATCTGACTTACCCAAGAGGCATTTGATTTTCTGCAGTTAATATCACACTCCCATATAGAGTTTTTCTGTTATAAAGGAGTCAATGATGTTTCATTAGGTTATGGTGTAGAGAAGGATATGTTGGAGCTTTCCGGGACAGTCTTCTGAAGCAGGGTATGAAACAAGTCCATACTTGAAAACTCTACACCATGAAAAGACATTTTACAACCCCCTGCATTTAAGAAGCACTTTACCTATTTTAACATCTAGGGGAGAACAGCATATTGGAATGTGTTCAAAAACCCAGAAGAGGCATCACCTAGCTGGTTGGTTCTAGTCCAAGACTAGCCAAGTCTTTTTGTGAATAAAGCTTTTATAACACGTACCTTGGATTCTAATGATATGCATTATATGAAAACCTCTTCAGATTTCAGAGATTAAAATTCGAAGCAAGTAATTTGTCTCTGATTTTTGGTGCGAGGAGGGTCAATTTCATTGAAACCAAAATGGCTTTTATGGAATTTGAAGGTGGTGAGGAATAGTAAAGAAGTCACATGTTGACTTGAAGCTTTTGTAAATCTGTTCTCAGTGGGAGATATAAAAATCCCTGCAAGACTGATTGTTGACAGATTCATGCCTCTGTCAATCACAATATGCAATGCAAACTAATATCTGTTGAGAAGGGAGCACTGACCATTTTATCCTTAAGTGTAAGTGACACCAGTAATGTTTCCATTTACAATTCATGGAAGCTGTCCAGCAGTTTATCAAGGACAGGCCATGATGACACAGTGCCTGGCCTTGTGTCCCCAGAGTGTTCAGAAATGAAGTCATTTCAGGAGGACTGCTTTCCCTGGATCTCTTGGGATTTTCCCAATGTAACATTACCCAATCACAGATGTTACAAATTAATAATTCATCCTAATTTCTGGGAGGGTGTATGTGTTTTTGTAAAGCTGGAGAAGCCCTATATATTTTCTTTTGTTGTTAACGGAGAAAATCTGTTTTTAATATAATACTAATAGAGTAGATTCACCAGAGGGGAATTCCATGCTGACAGCAAATATTAAAATTTAGTATCATTAAAAATAAATGGTAAATTAGACATATTTATAGCAGCCACAGGCAATAGCTACAGAATATATAGATGGGGCACAAGTCCAGTATTAATTAACATACAATTTGAGTTTGAAAGTTCTCATCTTTTAAAGCACCCTGGAAAGGCTTTATTATATCTCCACATTTGCAGACAGCAGCACGGTTTATAAAGGGCTCTTTATGCGTCCCTGGCAAACAAATGTGTCTCTATAGCGTGTGAAAATTCTCAAATGCAAAAGTGATTAGCAAGGGAGTAATGGGATCTATTTAACACTAAGAAAAAGCACATAATTTACCAGCAGAGCTTGGACTAATGACCCATCAACAGGGTCCTGACAACAGCTAATCACTAATGCATTGGAGTTATACCGGAGCGCCTGCTGAGTTCCAAGACCAGCTGTCCTGCAAACTGGCTCCGTGATCTTTGAGAAAAACAGGCTGAATCTGGCCTGCTGTTTAGGGATTGATTTGTAAGGTTTTTAATTTTTATGTGGGGGCAGGAAAGGGGTATCGGAATTTCCCACTACCAAGCAGTTGACCTGAAGTGTTTGTTAAGACTTTGACCATTGAACATCTAGACCAATGGTTCCAATTGTTCAGTGCTCCAATTACATTTCTTGCTTTAGCTTAAATCACCCAGTCCTTTCAATTCTCACGGCAGACATCCCCTTGAAGCCTCCTCTTGTGTTCTGATGGGAAAATAGTACCAACATATTCGAGAGTTAACTAATGAACATCATAAAGCATGATACAGATTCTGAATGCAATACAAGTGTTAATGGTAATGAAAATGATAATGTGAATTCTGCACCTGCCAGTTATGCAGTATGGAGCGCAAAAGTAGTCCGAGTCTCTGTTCACACACACAGGAAGCATGGGATTTGTCTGTGGTTGATTGAAATATCACCTCACCCTTTGTTGCAGAGCTTTGGTATGTGACTCAGTGACCCTCTGTACTGTGCCTCTGACGTACCATCTTTCATGAAACTGGGGGTGTCATAGAAGCGGGGTAGGGGTGGGGTTGTATGGAATGTTGTTGCCTTTCCTTACTCACATCACCTGTGGCGCTGCTTCAGAGGCATATTTCTAGGTACCATCCCGCACTTACTGAATCAGAAACTCTGGGATATTGGCCCAGAAATGCACACTGAATACGTCTGTAATTCTTATGCTTCTTAAAGTTTGAGAACCACTAGTTTAAAGTTATGACTAGAATATGTATATTTAGAGCCTTGCCCATAGTCTGTCTTCTTCATTCAGGAATTTTCCGTTTTTTGTAATTTAAAAAAATCTAGTTTTCTTTCTTATAGTTCCTGTTAATACCTACAAAACCAGAGGTTTTCTCATTTTAATGATTACATCTGGAGTCATAAAGAAACTTGAGATAATTGTGGATTTTGCCTGTTTATGGACCAGTTGGCTAGAGGTGGGGCAGTTAGGTACAAAAGAAAGTTCAGTAGTCCAAAGTCTGGAGATTAATGTTTATGGTCAAGCTTCTTTCACTAATCGCTATCAATTAATTATGATAAGCATAAGGGTTTTCTCATCTACAAAATAAGGGCAAATAGACCATTTCTCTATGGGCTCTTTGAATATTTCAGTTACAGATTGGCTAAACAGTTGGCTCACCCAAGTTAGAGGAAGTTCTGTTCATTTTCATTTTGTAGGCTCTAGTTCCTTGGAAATCAGCAGTCAGCTACTAAATTTTGCATGAGTGGTTGATGAGGGTCCACCTGATCCAGGTGTATTTGCTTTAAAATTTCTAAGATGTTTTATCTGTCATACTTGAGCAAACAAAAGAAAATATCGGTAACAACCCAAATAACTATACAGTTTTTTAAACAACCAACATGTGTTCATAGTCATATGATGCAGGGAATGTGTGTGTGTGTGTGTGTGTGTGAGAGAGAGAGAGAGAGAGAGAGAGAGAGAGAGAGAGAGAGAGAGAGAGAGAGAGAGAGAGAGAGAGAGGGAGAGGGAGATACTTCTGATTGTGGATCATCAATACTTCTTTGTAATGAAGATTTCTTGCCACACACTAAAGACTCTAAGGAAGCCTTAGGCTTGCTTTTCGGTCTTTGTTCTCCTTCACCTTTGGTTTTTCTTCTGGTTTTCTAGATAGTATTTATAGGCATTCAAGTTCTACCATTTTCTAGATATCACAGAATGAGCATTTTCTTTACAGTGAAAACCTCTTTGCATCATTAACTATTGCTTTTTCTTTAGTTTTATTCTGACCTTTACCTCTTAGTCTGCCCTGGTATTGACTTCCTTATTTTTCCCTCTTGCTGTACACTCCGTAACTACTCTTAGGGGTTTCCATCTTTTTTAAGAAACATCTTTTTCAGGGGTTCCTGGATGGCTTAGTCGGTTAAGGCTCTGACTCTTGATTTCAGCTCAGGTCATGCATGATCTTACGGTTTGTGGGATCGGGCCCAAGCCTGGCTCTGTGCTGACAAAAAGGAACTTGCTTGGGATATTCCCTCTCTCTCTCTCTCTCTCTCCCTTTCCCTCTCCCTCTACCCCTTTCCCGCTCATGCTTTCTCTCTCTCAAAAATAAATAAATAAACATTAAAAAAATTAAACATCTTTTTCCGACTCTGGGTCACAACTCATTAGTAGATCATGAAATTAATTTGTGGGAACTTTTTTTAAAAACTATCAGAGTAGTACGTATTAGTATTATTTGAATGTTTTGATTTTATATAAATGTCTATACGTGTGCATACTCCCATACGTGTATTTGGGTGTGCAGATAAAATGTATTTCCTACTGTAGGTCATGGTCAAAAATGCTTGAAAATCATTGCTGTTCCACCAGATAGGATCTATGGCTTCTTGGTCCTATGAGGGACCCCTTTGCAGTGTAACCACAGGACAGTAACCACACTGTTTGCATTTCTCTTTTTGGTCTTGGTGACCACCCTGGCTAGACTGCCTGCACTCCCCAGTGGACAAACACTGGCCAGTCTAGCATCAGAGCCAATGCTTACCACTATGTATTTTTGGTCTGACCTACATCCACAGCCTTTTCTGATCTATGAAGTTACTGTCAACACACTGGGAGGTATTATTTATCTTCCTCCCATGGTTTTGGGTGACAAAGAATCTTCCCAAGGAAAAATACCGCTAGGAAGTTTGCCCCTTAAGAAACAGTAAAGCTCTTTCTCAGTGATCCCTTTTAAGCTTCCCCTTAGCTTCTCTGACAGGAATTAAAGCCACACATCTGCACACACCAAACGCTTTATAATAACTGAAGAACAGGGGTGCCTGGGTGGCTCAGTCAGTTAAGCATCCAACTTTGGCTCAGGTCATGATCTCATGGTTCGTGGGTTCAAGCCCCATGTCAGGCTCTGTGCTGACAGCTAGCTCAGAGCCTGGAGCCTGCTTCAGATTCTGTGTCTCACTCTCTCTCTGACCCTCCCCTGTTCATGCTGTCTCTCTTTCTCTCTCTCTCTCAGAAATAAATAAAAACATTAAAAAAATAAAGATTAAAAAATAATAATAACTGAAGAACAGCCTAACAGCACTTTAGAAATTCTCTATGTTCTTGTGGCTCCTGGGTAGCTAAGTCAGTTAAGCCTCTGACTTGGACTCAGGTCATGATCTCACGGCTCATGAGTTCGAGCCCCCCGTAGGGCTCTGTGCTGACAGCTAGCTCAGAGTCTGGAGACTGCTTCCGGTTCTGTCTCCCTCTGTCTCTGCCCCTCCTCCGCTTGCACTCTGTCTCTCTTTCTCAAAAATAAATAAACAATTGAAAAATAAAAAGAAAATATGGGGCGCCTGGGTGGCTTAGTCGGTTAAGCGTCCGACTTTCGCTTAGGTCATGATCTCGCGGTTCGTGGGTTCGAGCCCCGCGTTGGGCTCTGTGCTGACTGCCAGCTCAGAGCCTGGAGCCTGTTTCAGAATATGAATCACACTCTCTCTCTGACCCTCCCCTACTCACGCTGTCTCTCTCTCTCTCCTAGAAATAAATAAAATATTAAAAAAAAAAAAGAAAAAGAAAAAGAAAATAAAGAAATTCTCCATGTTCCTTCTGTTCCATGTGGGTAGTGGGGACTGAGCTTCGGATGGGAATAGGAGAGACTATAGAGCAGACTCTCTGAAACAGACATCTGACAGGACACCAGCCTTCCTAGGGAAGAGGCCTGAACATTAGCTGCATAAGGGAGATGCTGACCTGCAGTGGCGTGGTGGTCTCTCTTCTCACTCAGACACCAAGGCCTATGGGCTTTTCAACGGCAAAACTGAGCTTGTAGGTGGTGAACGTGTGTGATAAAGCTAAACTGAGAAAGAATAAAGAGTTGGAGTAAGCAAACTGTGATGCAAAACACTCAAAATACCATTTTCCAAATAAAGTAGAGCTTTGTCTCTTGCTCACATTACCATCCAGGGAGGATAGTCCCAGTTGGCTGCACAGAGCTGTTCAGAACTCAAGCCGAGGGCTCCATGAGCCTCTCCCAAGATCTCTCTGTGAAGACACCTGCCTGATATGGCTCACTGACCTGGCACAGATGTGGCACACATCACTTCTGTGCAGGTTCTCTTAGCTCGAAGTGAATCACATAGCCACAGCTAACAGGGAGGCATTTTACCTGGTCAGCCATGTGTAGTGTGGAAGGCTTTGATGATGGGCTCACAGGCTCTTTCACAGAGACTCACAGTCACCAGGTGCCTAGTATGGACAAAATATGCTATCAGGTGCTTAGGAACACGATCTCAAAGTTAGGTGTGGTGGGTCATATGGTTTTAAATTTATAGCAAAGTAAACTGAGGTTCAGAAAGTTTAAGTTACAGCTAAGCAAACTGTTATCATCCTCCTCCTCAACATGGCAGTTAGTTTTACTATGTTTCAGGTGCTTTTAATGCACCAAAACATTGTGTTTAATTGGCTTATTTTTGTAGGCAGAATGGACTCTCCCTCCCCCAAATCTCCCAGAGCTCAATCTCTGGAACCTGTGAATGTGTTATGTTACCTGGAAAAAGTGACTGGGCAGATGTAATTAAGGTTCAGGACCTTAAAATAAGGAGATTATTCTGGATTATCTAGATGGGAAGAATATAATTACATGAGCCCTTAAAAGCAGAGAATTGTCTCTGGCTGGAGTGAGAGAGATGCAGCCTAAGTGGAAGAGAGATTTCGAGTCTGAGAAGAATTTGATGAGCCATTGCTGGTTATGAAACCCAGGGGGCTCTGTGCATGGACCTAACAGAGATCTCTAGGAACTAAGAGGCTAAGAGCCAGCATGGAAGTGAGAACTTATCTTATAACCTCAAAAAACTGAGTTCTGCCAACAACCTGATTAAGCTTGAAAGGGGATTTTCCCTCAGAGCTTCCAGAAAGGAACACAGCCTGACAATTTGAGTTCAGTCTTGAGAGACCCTTGACAGAAAAATCCAGGTGAGTCATGCTGTGCCTGGGCTCCTTTACCCACAGAAACCGTGAGATAACAATGAGTGGTTTTTTAAGCCACTAAGAAATGTGTGGTTATTTGTAACAGCGGCAATAGAAAACTAATATGCTTCTCTAAATCTTTAAAGGTAAGTGTTCTTATTTGAAATTCAAAACAGAACTGGGATTTGAATCTAGACCTGTTTGGTTTCAAAGTACCTTTTTCCCTAAGATATTATGCTTCATTCCATATGTTGAAATATCTTGTAAAATGTATGTCGTGCTATGTAAATAAAAGGTAGGTTTAGTCATATTAGGAGTGACATTTATTTAAAAAATGTAAGTAGGTTTTACGAGTCAATGACCAAAATAGATATTGAAATACAGCAGACATAAAAGTAGCTTTGTCTGGATTTTGCTTTCAAATCTAAAAGGAAAATAAGAGAGAGCTATGGCATTGTTAATTATGCCTTTTTAAGTAAATGAAAAGCCCATTTTTGCTTGTAGAAATAATTAAGAGCTCCATTTTGGTTCTATGACTTTGAGACAATGTTTAAGTGGAGTAGAGGTGGACAGTCTAATCCATCTTTTATTTTCTGAGAGACTGAATTGCTCTGTCGGGCTGACATATGGATGAATGGCTTTTCTCTGCCCAAGTATTCTCTGATTACTCACATACACATATATGAGGGAACCAAAGAAATATGTGACAATTTGAGATTTCATGAGGACAAACCTACCTTGAAGAAGAGAATTTACATGTGAAAAATTCTAAGGTCGATCTTTTATGATGATACATCTTTGAAAAGAATCCGTATGAAAGAGCTACTTCTGGTGTCTGCAAATTTTCCCAGCCTTTGCCCTTCAAGGAATTAGAAGTTGAGGCTGATATTCCTAATGTTTGCTGGGGATAATATTTTCAGTTTCTTAGATATTCTTTTTCTAAACTTGAGGCCTGGTTTCAGGCTGTTACAGATCACTGAACAGTTTGTATTTTGATTCTTTCCATGAAAGCCCACATGTATGTCAGGGATTATTGCTTTTCTCGTTTCTCTGCATGTTCTTTAGTCTCCGTGCCTGAAAATCAGTCTTCCAGGTGATTTTTTTTTCTGTGAAAGACAAACAGAAATACAGGTAATAAAGCAAAAGCCTCTTTATTTTCTACTGTTTATGACTGTGATGCTTAAGAAGACTACAGTGACAATAAACAACAAATAAAAGCAACAGGCGTGGGATGCTCATTTCAGAGGCACAAAGAGTTCTGTTACATTTATGCCTTCATCAGGATGTCTCCACTGAATTTAACCTTTTCTTTTTCTCTCATCCCAATAGGAATACTATGACAAAGGAGATTATATTATTAGAGAGGGCGAGGAAGGAAGTACATTCTTCATTTTAGCAAAAGGAAAGGTAAATACGAATTAAAGCTTACTTAAAAGTAAAACGTGAAGTCTTTTCACATTAGTTTGCTCTGCACCGCAGCACTGGAAGGTCTCTGCATTGAACAGGTAAAGGCGCCTCTGCTCAGAAGAATTTCTTGGGGTTTGGTCTTAGCATTGGGTTTGGGGGCACAGGAGAGCTGTCATGGGTTCTGGCTGAGACAGTAACTTCTTAGTGACCTTAGGCGGGTCTCTTGACTTTCTTTGAATCTCTTTTCATTGTGTATAAAATGACTAGATTCTTTCTACGATCCCTTTTATCCCTGATTCTCAATCACACCAATGGTCCAGGAACAGGGCTGTAAATTTTTTCCATCCAGCAGGTGTGACAAGCAGCCGGTGGAGGAGAATGAACTCAGCAGTTGAGGACAGCAGTGGGTGGGCATAAAGCTGTAGAAAGATGGGACTCAGAACTTCACTTCATATACCATAGCTCAAGTTGGTTTGGATGCTGATGGAAGTTTTATGCTCTTATATGCAGTAGATCTTTTTCTTTACTTAAATTGTGAGTGGATAACATGTTGCCAATTGTTCCTGTGTTGACTCTTTACAGTGTTGTTCAGAGATAAAAGGCCTTTGTGAAATATTGAAAGAAAGAGTGAAATCTTGAGCACCTACATCCATAACCTGTCCAGTTTTTACAAATATTCTCTCTTCCATGGAAGGGTTTATCATCAGAGATTCAGCCATTGCCCTTTGTAAACTGGTTTGTTGTCGAACCTTGAAATGGGCCCCCAATGAAGGAAAAAAAAGTAACAAAATAGTTTCAAACCTCAGAAACACTTTTTTTTTTTATCATTTCTCTCCTACCTGGACTCCGTGTTTTCAGAATTTCTAATCAACACTAAGCAAGCCTTGTTATCATGTTGAATTGGTGTAAGTCTAGCCATAAACAAGGAATATTGAAGTTTTTGTTTGGTTCTGCTGTGAGACTTCTTAAACCTTCCTGGGCTGTGGGTCACACTGAGACACCCATGAAGTTATGGCCCTTCTCCATACCCACGTTTTTCATCCAGGTTTAGAGGGTAAAACAGAGGATTCAACAGTCATGGATACCCGATTCAGAACTCCTGACACTTACCCTTATTCTTGATTAATTGGTCAACTCTCTGGCTTTTTGCAGTAATAGAAGTTCCCACAAGAACATTAGTATTTGCTTTGAATATCCCTAGGAAGGAATCGCTGGATTCACATAAAATTTTTTAACTTTGGGAGGTGGGATTTGAATGGAGAACCTTCAAACCTTCCTCTTACAAATTGGGAGTCATTTGGTCATGTTAAATCACAGGATTTCTCAGTCCCTCCGAATGAATTGACTGTAGTTAGATTGTCCTAACTACCACAAAGTGAAAGCAAAGGCTCTTCTATTTCCTTCTTTCAGTCAAGTTTATATACTAGAGGGTCTGGTTGAATGAATATGTGTTCAGATTCTCATTTTTTCCTCCTTCTCTTTCTCTCTCTTCTTAATTGTTTAACATCATTTAGGTAAAAGTCACCCAGAGCACAGAGGGCCATGATCAACCACAACTGATAAAGACACTGCAGAAAGGAGAATACTTTGGAGAAAAAGCTCTTATCAGGTGAGCCCATGAAGTCTATACCATACTTAAATAATTCCTTGGTTATTTTGTATGTGCAACTACTCATTTAGAGTTGTCAAATTGAGCTACCAAATTAATGTCAGCAAATATCCAGGAATTAAGAAAAAATTTTAAACTGAACTCTAAAAAAATTCATTGTCATGCAGGAAATAAGTACACTAATTGCACAGAAAAGAAATGGGAGGAACACCTGGGTGGCTCAGTCGGTTAATCATCCAACTTCAGCTCAGGTCATGATCTCACGGTTCATGAGTTTGAGCCCCGCGTCAGACTCTGTGCTGACGGCTCGAAGCCTGGAGCCTGCTTCGGAATTCTGTGTCTCCCTCTCTTTCTGTCCCACCCCAGCTTGTGGTCTGTCTTTCTCTCTCTCAAAAATAAATAAACATTAAAAAATTAAAAAAAAAGAAATGGGAAATGCTTAAATTTGCTAGTCAAAATAAAATTGGTGTCCTGTTAGAATCTTTAGTTTAAAAGAGAGTCAGAGAGGGGTGCCTGGGTGGCTCAGTGGGTTAAGCATCTGACTTAGGCTTAGGTCATGATCTCATGGTTTGTGAGTTTGAGCCCCGCATTGGGGTCTGTGCTGACAGCCTGCTTCAGATTCTGTGTCTCTGTCTCTCGGTGCCCTTACCCTGCTCACACTCTTTCTCTCTCTCTCTCAAAAATAAACATTAAAAAAAATATATATAGTCAGAGAAAGAGATTAAAGATATTTTCTTTAAGAATGAGTTTTTATATTTCCAAGGTTTGAAATATTGCCATTTCCCCTTCTTAAAAAAATTATCCAATAATAACTTCCCATGTTTTGTGTGCTTTTAAATCATTATGCTAAAAGTAATATTTTCTTAAGGATTCTTATCAGCTCATGTTGCAAAGTTTAGAAACAACTCAAAATAGTGTATAGGAAACTTCTACCAGAACCTTGGGTCTTTTGAAGTATGAGTTTATCTACTGTTGATCTAACTTATGGAAGAAATATTCATAAAGATCAATCAAATGTCTCAGGAGACACTAAAGCCTAAACAACTTCAGAAAACAACTTCAAGCCTAAAACCTCAAGCCTAAAAACAAAACAAAACAAAAACAAAAAACTGCATTTTAAAAAATGTAAATAACTTTATAAAAGATCAAATTAGAGTTTTGTTTTTTTTTTTAATTTTTTTTAATGTTTTATTTATTTCTGAGAGAGAGAGACAGCATGAAGCAGGGGAGGGTCAGAGAGAGAGGGAGACACAGAATCTGAAGCAGGCTCCAGGCTCTGAGCTGTCAGCACAGAGCCCAACGCGGGACTCGAACCCACGAACCGTGAGATCATGAACTGAGCCGAAGTCGGACGTTCAGCTGACTGAGCCACCCAGGCGCCCCAAATTAGAGTTTTGAGCAATACTTTTTTTGGAGTTACATATGTTTTTAAATGAATACTTGAAATTAGTTAAGCTATTACTTTAACTTTATAAAAATCACTATGTTAGACACAATAATTATCCTCATTTACAGTTCAGAAAAATTAAATGCAAAGAAGTTAAGAAACTGTCCAAGGTCATTTTTTCCTTTTTAGCTTTTGTCATGAAGCCCTAGTTCTGCTGATTTGTATGTCATGATAACATTAAGTACAGAGCAAAGAAAATGTGTTTATAAATTACTGGAAAACAAATTTGATTATTTAAAAATTTTAAGCTCTTTTTTTTTTAAAGGAAAACTACTTAAACTTAGCAAGTTAAATTATGGCTATTTTTTAAACAATTTAAAAATGGAATTTAAAGGCAAGTTTAATTTTTCTTTCTCATTTTCTAGTAATTCTAGCTAGTAATTAACTTGTTTCAATAACAGGGAAATTGTCCTTTTTTATTTTTTTGTTTGTGACTGAATATGAATACATTCATGTAATATAATTATGTAATTTTGTTATTCAAACCTTCAGTGTATTTGTTTTTAACATTACTAGATTTCTTGCTTCATACCTTCAAGCAAAATAACTAAAGTTTGAAAGTGCAGCGAACTGTATAAATGTACTATATAGTCAAAATAGCTCTTGAAAGGAAATATATTGTCTGATTTTGCTGGATCTGAAATAATTTACTCTGTATGTCACGGCTAGCCAATTACAGTGTTTTCCATTGAGAAACATAGGAATTTATATTCAGTGTAGATACCCAGCTCCCCAGGCATTTGAAAGCATAAATCTAAAATCGATGAAAAGGAGCATTGTATACAAATACTTTTACATTTTTGTGCATTTTTATGCTATCACTTTTTAGGGCCACTAACTGTGACTCGATATTCCATATATTCTGTATCTTTCTATGACTTGACATTAAATAGTCCCAGGAGTTCTTTCAGCATTTTATGTGCAAAAATAAATCCATGGCACTTACACAGTTATTATGAAAGAAACGTGTTTTATAAACACCTAATATTTATAAAGTGTTTGCAGAGAATATTCCTAGTCAGTCTTGACAGTGACAAGTGAAACAATGGCCACATCATTCATTTTTTTGAGCTCACAAATCAAATTGGCTCATATCCAAGATCATATGTATAAGTATATGCATATCTATATCTACATATAGCTATAGATGTCAACACACATGCAAGTTGAGTAGAGACTGCCCAGCTCCCAACTCAAAAGCTCATCAGCCTGCAGTGTTTTTGCTGATGTTTTCTGGCAAGGACCCGGTATACTTGGAAGGAGCTGTGTGTTATGTCAGAAGGATTCTCGATGTCAACTATGTGGATAGGGGACTTCTTTGGAATGAGAGATGGCCCACCAAAGTTTTCCTGTCCCATTACTGAAGAAAGGTGAAGGAACTAGATATATACTTTGTGTTTGCCGTTTTTGACCAGGTCACTTAGTGCAGGATCAATATGCTTGTTCCTCTCAGTTACCTTAAATGAGTCTCACAGCACTGGGTACCATATGGGTGTACCGTTTTTCGGGGTCTTTAGTTTGTAACGAATAGAGGCAGGAAACATATAAATAAAGGTCTCTAAAGAAATACTTTACATAATGCTTGGTCTGTTGATATTCATTAGGTAATTAAATTTGCCATCATTAGATCATATGCCATAATTCATTGAATCTAGGGTATCAGTTTTGAAAGTCACCATTATATAATGTGCCTCTGAGAAAGAGAGACAATGCTATTGATTATATTATGACTCATCGTCAATTGTAGGACACACACTGATTTCAGAGATTCTAGGGAAAAATGTACATCTTAGGCTTTATGCAATTCAAGTATTTTAGTGTTTATTTAATCATTGAGTGATATGGCACTAACACCAGTTTCTTTAGGTTTTATTCTTTTGTTTTATTTGTTTTGAGAGAGGGTGACAAAGAGTGAGTGATCTGGGGGAGGGGCAGAGAGTGAGACTCTCAAGCAGGCTCCCATCGAGGCTTCTGATGTGGGGCTGGAAATCATGAGCCCTGAGATCATGACCTGAGCCGAAATCAAGAGTTGGAGACTCAACTGACTGAGCCACCAGTTATCCCTGGGTTTTATTCTTGATTGGCTTTTTATTATATGTTAATTACTTGAATGTTTTTCCCAATAAATGTGTTTGATTTGTTAATTTCAGTTTGGGCTGCTTATTAATTAACAATTCCCATTTGATCAGGGGAGAGTTCTTTTATTTTGCTGACACAAAGCACAGAATGAGATTCCTTACGCAGTTGTAATTCCTCTCTATTCCCAGTGTAATTTACCGTCCTCTCTGAATTCCTTATTGAGATAACCTTTATTGGGACACATTTCAAATGCTTTTTTGGAAACGGGTAGAATATGTTATGATTTTTAAAAAAAGCAGTCTTTGGAAGGTTTAAGTGATGGCATTTCATAAAAAAAGCAGCAGGTCCTCTAATAAAAATGGATGTGTAATTTCTAACTGTAGAAAATTGACTTTCCTGTTTTTGTCTGCAGCGAGGATGTCAGATCAGCTAACATCATTGCCGAGGAAAATGATGTCGCATGCCTAGTTATAGATCGAGAGTGAGTATGCGGATCCTGTCGGAGAAGGCAGGCTATTGCCCCCTTTGAAGACTTGGCCTTCTGTTACTCCGAAGGCCCATCTGTCTTCTCATTCATCACCACTTAGAAATGCTGGCCAATTGTCAGCTGCAAATACATTCTATTAAAATTCATGGGGAGGAACTGGGCCTTCTAATCTGAATGTGTCTGTGGCAGTGGCAGATGCTGGCAGGCTAAATATTTTGTGTGCAAAGTTTGTACATAAATATCAGCAATAGACCGATATAAATTCTGCATCTTCCAGAGAAATAAGCTTATTAGTACTCTTATGGATTCCCCCCACACAATATAATTTATTTCTAAAATGCTGTAAACAGTCAAAATTTTTTTTGAACAAAACCTCTGTATCAGATATGTTATAAAATACTCATTATTAGCTATATATATATATATATTTCCAGAGAAGGTTTAATTTAACATTTGTAGTAACTTGCAAGTGATGTGTGTTAATATTAATCTCTAAATGTCTCAGGTTAATTTTCAGGAAAAAGTCCTTGTGTCCTTCACTCACTTCAGATCATATTTGAACCCGGCCCTTTGGATCTCTCACTAATCAGTTGAATATTGATCGATTAGCTAGATATCAGAAAAGGGAATTTAGATATACCAAAGCTAGGCCATTGTCTAAGAAAACTCACAGTGAATTGAAAGAAATAGGGTATACTCATGAAATATTAGCAAAAAATAGTAAAATGAAGAATAACAAGAGAGTAAGTATGTAGTTGATTACTAATTGAGATTAACATTCATTGAACATAGAACCAGAGATTTAGAGCTGGAATAAACTTTAGAACATTTTTAAAAATGTTTATTTTTGAGAGAGAGGGAGCAAGCATGAGCAGGAGAGGGGCAGAGAGAGAGGGAGGTTGGAGGATCCTAAGCGGGCCCTGCACTGACAGCCAAGAGCCTGATGCAGGGCTCGAACTCACGAACCATGAGACAATGACCTGAGCTGAAGTGGATGCTTAACCAACTCAGACACCCAGGTGCCCCAGAACTTTAGAACTTTAAAATATATATATATATAATATATATATATATTTAATATATTTATTTAGTTTTGAAAGAGTGCACGTGGGGGAGGGGCAGAGAGAGGGGGACAGAGCATCGGAAGCGGGCTCTCCACTGACAGGCTGCCAGCAGCGAGCCTGATGTGGGGCTCGAACTCACACACTGTGAGATCATGACCTGAGCTGAAGTCGGACGCTCAGCCGACTGAGCCACCCAAGTGCCCCCCAAAAATATATTTTCATTGTGGAGAATTTCACACATTAAAAAGCAGACAGGATGATATTATGAATCCCATAATGTAAGTCCAGAAATTATCAATTAATGTCTTATCCAGATCCCTTCGCCACCCCCTCTCTGCCTTCTCCATGCTCTTTTCGAACAAATTGCGAACATAAAATGATTTCATCTATAAATTTTAGTAGAATTTCTGGAGGGTAAATGTCATTTAAAGGCATGACCACAATAAGGTTAACATACCTAAAAATTTAGCAATAATCCTTTTTTATTTATTATTTTCAACCGAGGCATAATCGACACAACATGAAATTATTTTTGGGTTTACAACATAGTGATTCGATATATGTATATATTGCAAAATGACCACCACAATAAGTCTAGTTAACATCCATCACCACACATAGAACAATACTCCTTAATATCACTTTGAATTACTTTAATCTCTGTCTTATGGATAAGAAAAGAAGTCCCAGATCAGTAAAGGGTTGCCGCAGCGATGCCGTCCTGTGATGCAGCAGGAGGTCCTGCCCGGGTGTCCTGAGCATCTTTCTTGCAGAGTTCTGCCCACTGTGGCCTTTGGCTCCCGTGGCATGTCTTCAGAAAGAGGATCAATCCTAATGTAATAAAGTGGGCAAGGCTTTATTTTGTTAAGTGTGGACATGGGGCTTAAAAATTAATAGGAATTCTTCAGGCAAATAGGAAATGCAGAAGTCACTCCAGGAGAAGCATGACTTAAAAATGAAGGCAGAGGGCTAGAAAGTGCAGAATAGGTTCAGACAAAAGTAATCTTTGGATGCCAGCTCACAAATGGAAAATGCATTGGTACAGTATTGTCCTGATAATGCATTGTTTCGAATAGGAGTTCATTAAAAATATATGCATGCACTGAATAGCATTGACTGTGTGGTAGAATCTTGTAAGTTGCTCTGAAATGCTAGGACTAAAAATATGAGAGAGAGGAAGAATTCCTTTCCTTTTTCTGCATTGTAATCACACAAGCAAATATTTATACAATGCCTCATATATTCATAATCCCTGAAAGGGTTGCAGTCATTTTATAGAGTTAACATATTATTCGGAAGATTATAATTTTAAAATGTTCAATTTACATGTGTAAGATTCTTTAGTATACAAAGTATTGTGTTAAGCTCGAAGAGACTTAAAAAGTTACATGAATTGGGGCGTCTGGGTGGCTCAGTTGGTTAAGCTTCTGACTTCAGCTCAGGTCACGTTCTCACAGTTTGTGAGTTCAAGCTCCACGTCGGGCTCTGTACTGACAGCCCAGAGCCTGGAGGCTGCTTCGGGTTCTGTGTCTCCCTCTGTCTCTGCCCCTCCCTTGCTCACACTCCATTTCTCTCCCTCTCAAAAATGAGTAAACATTTGAAAAAATTAGAAAATAGTTATATGAATTTCTTCTATGGATGAGAAAGGCTGAATATCAGATGTAACTAGGTTGACCTAGATCCTGGATTTCCTGAACAGTTCTGGTTGGCTCAGCATCTTTGTTATTGGCACCACCTTTCACTCTGAAAAGTACTCAGTTTGGATGGAAAAATGATAGGATCCTCGTAGCCATGACTAATAGACTAGGTTAAGATGCCATGATAATTCTCCCACAGTACCTTATCTACACTTACATCATTATTCTCATTGTATCTCATTGCTTTATGTAACATCTGTCTTCCCACTCTTCTGTAAGCTTCATGAGTCCAGAAACACTGACTTGTTCACTGCTGTTGCAGTGCCAGCAAATGACATCGTCCTTGGCAGACGGGAAGTGCTCCACATGTTGGCTGAATAAAGGGCACCATCCTTGCAATGAAATATAGCGACTGAAAACCTTTGGCTCTTTATTTCTTCTTTCCTAATGCATTCTTTCAAAAAAATGCTTAGAATGAATACATTGCAAGGAGAGTTCAAGTTTTCCTATTTTTAGGTCTAATGAAGTGTGCGAAATGGCAGTATCTCTAAATACATGGAAAGTGTGATTTGTGACATCTCCATCATTGTTTGGTTGTTGAGACAGATCTCAAAGGAGCTGATTATGTCAGAATGTGCCGTCTGTACCATCAAAATGATTACAGGCTCTTTGTCACAGCTAGAATGTTGTAGCTGTTTACATTTACTTTAGCTCTGGGATGTGGAGAATTTCTAGGATCCTGTGACACCAGTATCACCTACATTTAAAACATGAGATTTGTTTACAATACTTTAATTAGTTTAACAGTAAGCAAAATAAGGGTGATATATAGAATAAATAAAAACAAAACAAAGTGGGGCGCCTGGGTGGCTCAATCAGTTAAGTGTCTGACTTTGGCTCAGGTTGTGATCTCGTGCTTCATGAACTCGAGCCCCACATCAGGCTCTGTGCTGACAGCTTAGAGCCTGGAGCCTGTTTCAGATTCTGCATCTCCCTCTCTCTGCCCCTTCCCCACTCATGCTCTGTCTCTGTCTCTGTCTCTGTCTCTCTCCAGAATAAATAAACATTAAAAACAATTTTTTTTAAAGAAAAACAAAGTACAAGAAGTATTTCCTTTTTACTTGATCATTTCAACCACTGGATATTTGAAATTTCTTGGCAATGCTTTTTGTTTCTCACTATTCTACCAGTCCATAGAGCAGAATAGAAAAGAGTGGAGAGTAGATCTGAAGAGAAAATTGGAAAAGACCCAGCACAGTATATAAGATATGCTTAATAATGTGAATGTAGATTAGGGTGAATTCAATGTGGGGAGAGCTCATCAGGGCTAGGAAGGCAATAAATGACAACAGTACAGTAATGAGATGTCTCTGGTTTATTAGTTTTAGGTGTTTTGAGGTAAATTTTCATTCCTTTCATTCTTCTATGCCCAGGTGCTTAAGATTTACCAAGAAGATTAAAGCATAGTTTCTAGAAGGATAGTACTTGCAGTAGAGAAGAGAACTACCTTAAAAAACCACAAATCAAGATAGATTGTCAAGTGTAGGGTGGGGAAGCATTGAAAAGATAATCGAGAAAATATATTTCACTGGTGAGGAAGGGGATTCTTTATTTCTCATGGGCAGTGCTTGGTATGAGTTTCCACAGACACTGTAGCGGGGGTGGGGAAAGTAGATGAAGTCTGATCTGTGGGGCAAGAGGCCAAGGGAAGATACTGGCTGAGCCTCAGAAAACTACTAAGATAATGTAAAACATTTAGATTTGATTATGAAGGAATGCGAAATGAGGAGCATTATGGAGGGAAAGAAAAGATAAATTTTATCCTTGATTTTTAAAATAAATAGCCTCATTTGAGGAAGTGAAGTTAAGAAAATCTGCCATCCATGTAACCTGTTGATTCAGTAAACACATTATGTAGACTATTTCCTGTCCCCTGTCTTCTGAAAAAAAAAAAAAAAAATTCTGGTAAACCTGAACCACAAGACAGAAAACTACAGAAATGTTTTCTCTTTGCTTTGTTTTCATAAACTCACAGGATTAATTCTATAACTTCTAATGGCTAGTCTACATTTTATGGCAACTTTAATGTAACATAAATTATTGAAAAACCATTTACAAAGCCATGAATAACCATACAAATGGTCTTTTATGAGCCTGAGAAATTTATTTTATTCACTTAGGACATTCAACCAAACAGTCGGGACTTTTGAAGAACTCCAAAAATACCTCGAAGGGTATGTGGCAAACCTAAACCGTGATGATGAGAAAAGACATGCAAAGTAAGTGGATGAATGTTTTCCTAAGCCGCATAGGACTTCCAGCAGTAGATGAAAGAGCACAGGAATATGATTCACCATGTGCTAACTTTCTGTGTGCTGTCACTAGAAAATTTGGGGGGAAGTCTTTTAAATTGATCTTCTCCAAAGAGGATGCCACTTACCACTAGTATGGATATTATTTTAGTCTGTAAGTAGTCAGCTTCTTTTTTTGGGTGATGAGTAATAATGTCAGGGAGACATTTCCTGATAGGTGGCCTTGGGAAAGGGATTCTATGTCTGATGACTTAGCTCAAAAGGAGATTAATTCAGAAATGGAAACGGAAATTGAACAAGAGTGCCAACGGACTAGAGTAAGCCATGCATTCTGATTTCAGGTAGACAGCTGGAGTAGGGTCAGAATTATTTCAAAATATAAGGGAGTTATTGCTCAAGGGTGTGTGTGTGTGTGTGTGTGTGTGTGTGTGTGTGTGTAGGAAGACGTTGGGTAATAATAACAATAATAACATGGTAATATTGATGAAGAATTTTGTGCTTAATAGAAAAACTACTTTGTAAAATTAGAATTATTTGAAAATCCTTTACATTTTACAGAGTAAATACGTAAGCACATATTTACCAGGTAGTACTAATGAAGCTGGAGTCAAAAGTTCTAGACAACTGACATTTAAAGTACATTGGAGCATTCAGTCAGAACCTCAGAAGTTTTTTGCTTTTGAGTGTTTTTATTTGTTTGTTTTTGTTTTCATTTTGTTTTCTTTTTCTGGCAAGGAATATATTTGCAGTTTTCATGGCAAAGGCCTTTTGTAATAAGAACAATTTATGAATATATAACCCAGAGCAGTAAACCTTAAAAGAGAAAAATGAGTATTTCCAAATAATGATACTTAGCTATAAAGTAGAGAATGTATTTTTCAGCTTTCACTAAGCAGTTATTCTGGTTCAGCCATGGAACACTTAGAAACCTGACAAAAATAGCAAAACCCAGCAAAGATTCTCAGTGTGGCATTCTCCTGTATGTGTAGCAAAGGGATGGCTCATTGGTTTTATTTCCTCTCATTGACTCTTCAACAACAAAAAAAAAACCCAACAGATTTATTGAGATATACTTTAAATTACTATGCAATTCAACTCTTTTTACCTCTCATTGATTTAGTTTGACATTTGTCTATTAATGTGTGTGTGTGTGTGTCTGTGTGTGTGTTTTGTTTGTATAGTCTATTGTTTTTCTCTACAGACATAACTGAATCCGATCCTATAGAAGTTGAGCCAGCCTTGGTAGCAACCATGGGCAGTAATTACTGGCAGAAATGATACTGTTGTTAAGAGTGGGATTTAGATGTGGCCTGACCCTGGCCTGCTAAGGGAGCCTATGCAAAGTTTCACTTTTCTTGTGCAGGAGATCCATGTCTAACTGGAAGCTGTCCAAAGCACTCTCTCTGGAGATGATTCAGCTGAAGGAGAAGGTGGCCAGATTTTCCTCATCATCCCCATTCCAGAACCTTGAGATTATCGCAACACTGGGCGTTGGTGGGTTCGGAAGAGTTGAGCTTGTAAGGGGTTTACGTTTCAAGCATCTGAGAGAAGCTTTTTGACTTTTTTTGTTTTATATTCCAGAATATCTTGGAGGAATATATGAATTGTTGTCACTATCTTAAATGTTGCTTTGAGCTGAAATTGAGAAAGTAATTTTTCACTCTGTGTGTTGTATAGTAGCATGTCTGTGCTAATAAGTAACTTGTAATAATAATATAGCTCTTATTTCAAGCTTCTTGCATCAAATCCTTTTGTGATTTTTTTTTCTTGATTATAATTTTTGGAGAATGTACCAAGTAAGTATTCCCAGAGGCTATAAAACACTAAGAATGTATTTTCAAGAATGTATTTTCTAACAGCAAAATGTATACACACACACACTTATGACACATTAACTATATACTAAAGAAAAGAAGAATGTGTCCAGGGGAAATGCTGTAGAAATAAAATCTTTAATATTATAGTTTACACAACTCCACTGCCATGTCTATACTTGGCTTTCATCATCCTGTTTTGGGGTTGCTCAAGATATTCCATCAGAAAAGAAGAAAAGAAGATGAATATAAAGGAATATTTAAAGTGCATCCTTCTGCAGTGTTGATCAGGACAGCTGGGGACTTATGGCCTGATCTGGGCTGTATTTTCCACATCACCACCTCTCTGAGCTTTATAACTCGCTTCCAAGGAGTAACAGAGTGGTACTGTCAGATCAAGTGCTCTGAGGAAACTGTAGAATGGAGGTCTGTGACCTTACTGGGTACAGATGGCTCTGAACCCTTGGCAATTACCAAGCCCTTCTTTGCCCAGCAGATTTGTCACGATTCACTGTACATTAACCTCCGGATACCAGGCTGACACCTTCATCTGCTGGATGGCCCTAGACATGAGCAGATCTGAAATGCTGCCAGGAGACCTGGATAGAGCACCTCACACCCAGTCGGTACTTCCTCTCTGATGGGTGAGGGGGAAAGAAACAATTTCTTAATAAGCCAATGAGCATTTGTCATTTTTTTTTTTTAATGCCATATGGAGAGACAAGGGCAATATCCATCTGCAGTGGTGTTTTTCACCAAAGATCCTGGCAAAGGAATTGAATTAACAATGCTGAGATCTATATATTTTTTTTAACGTAGTGAGATGATAGTAATTGAAACAATAATTCCACCACTGGTTTAATAGTCCTAAGCAGCACTAGCGGCAAATGTGAGCCAAGTATGGAGTGCAGCCATTTCTGTGCAGTTTCATTACTTGTCAAATATAGTCTGCTTATGGAATTTTAAGCCTATCTGGATAAACATCTATATTAATTTTTCTTATTTCCTTTCAAGGGAAAATTTTGTTTGTCCATCTAAAGCGCATACACCAAAAGAACTTTCTGCACTGATGGAAATGTTCTATCCCCCTGCCATCCGGAGGGTAGTTACTTGCTGGTTGTGGCTGGCAAGCCTTTGAAATGTGGCTAGTGCAACTAAGGAACTAAATTTTTAATTTTAATTATTTTACATTAAATAACCTCATGTGACTACTTGCTGTCGTATTGGATAGCACAGATACGGGTTTTGATTTAATATGTTTTGTTTTAAAAATGGAAGAAGTGGATCTTAAGAAAGAACAATTTTTGGCAGTTCTGGTCAACGTTTTTTTAGGTCACACACTCAAAAGTGAATAGATTTCTAAACCTTAAATCTAAGTAGAGTTTTTTTTTTCTTGTGTTAATGCAAAGATTTTAGGACCATGTTCCAGATATGTAATCTCTTTTGGAAATTACAATGTAATTACAATGAAAGGGAAGGGTGTATACCTGACTAAAATAAAACTTAGTTCCCGAGGGATGAGTAGTTGAAGGGTCACATTCTATTTAAATATGAAAGAATTTTAACTCTCACTGGTTACCATGTTTTATATAGATGTTACAAATATTTCCTACTAAGTTAGTTTTGAGGGATCTTTCTCTTCTTACATAGGTTAAAGTGAAGAATGAGAATGTGGCTTTTGCTATGAAGTGTATAAGGAAGAAGCACATCGTTGACACTAAGCAACAGGAGCACGTTTATTCAGAAAAGAGAATTCTAGAGGAGTTGTGTTCTCCCTTCATTGTGAAGTAAGTGAGAATTTAGGACTGTAGGTAGGCTCTTTTGAATGTTTTCATGCAAGAGAACAGAAGAGGAAGAAAAAAAAACCCACTCTGAATTCTCCATCCCTGTCACAGCCACAACACATAAAACGTTAGAGCTTTGAGGTTTGGAGTCAAAAGTTTAGATATATTTTATTCTTGAGTAAATCTCAGGAAAGTGTGTGTGTGTGTGTGTGTGTGTGTGTGTGTGTAAATATAAAATTATTGTGGAATAATTTGAACTGATTATTTATTCTGCATACCTAGTGCAGAATTTAGGAAGCAAAGAATTCATTTGAAACCCTCAGGGGACAAACTGCTGTTGAATTTCTGCAAGGAGTGGCATTTGGGCACATGCAGGCTGCCAAGGAGCTATGGAGCGTGGTCCTAGCAGTGCCTAGATGCGGAAAGATCCATCTCCTAATAGTCACTGTTCTTTCTGTAGTTATGCCCAGAGTTTGGGGAGAGACATGTTATTCTAGGCCACAGCTCTCTTTACTTGTGATTCATGAGTTAGTGGTGTAGGCCACTCAAGACATATTTTCTTACAGGTTCTGGCCTCAGAGTGTAGCTTTAGTGATTCCTGGGTGATGTAAAGGGCCCCTATAATGAACGGAATTTATGTTTTCTGATCAAATGTCTTGGGAAAATCTTCCTGCCTACCCATATCCTCACCCCCATTTTTTTTCAAGATTAAAGAGTTTGAACCCAGGAGATGCTGGCAATAGAGTCATCCAATTATTTTTTAAGTTAACTATGTTCCCAGAATGCACTCCCCCTTTCATCAATAATTCACTAATAAACTATCATGAGCAGCTTTAGGGCATGGATTGGATTTTATTCCTTTTCTCATTTCCAGCTCTTTGCAGAATGCCTGGCATATAATAAGGCAATAATAATATAATAATAAATATTAATGACATTTATTGAGAAATTAACATGTTCCACTCTTCTTAGCAAACTGTATATGTTTTATATATATATAAAATATGTGTAATATATATTTAAAATATTTTTTATTTTTATTTTATTTATGTATGCAGATATATAGCATATGTTAAATAATATTTCATTTAATTTATAATCAAATGAATGTATATATTCATCTGACCTTTATGATGTGAGGTAAATGTAATGGTTGTCCTCAAGAGGAATAAGAAAACTGGGTCGCATAGCTAATAAATGGCCAATCAGGGATTCACACCGAGGCATCTTGCATCCAGAGCCCACACCGAACCACTTTATTAGACTGCCTCTGTTGTCTGCACATGATCTGGGCGCTCTGCTTTCACCTACTGTTGAAATATGGTACCCCACCCAGGACCCACATCAAGATTAGGGCTGTCATTCCTTCACCTTCTGGGAGTGTTGCCAACGGAGAATTCTAGCTCAGTCCTTTCCTGGCCATTGTTCTAAGGTAGAGAAAACCACCTTGCCCAAGACCGCACTCTGTCTCCAAGTACATCCTGCATCCAATAATGACAGAACTCTTTGAGGCTGAGGCTTTTGTTGAAACTAGAAACTAGAATAGCCCAGCTCTCCTGCTGCCCCAGTGTGTCTTACTCGTCCCCAATGGATGTTGTTTCCAAGTACACTTCCCACTAACCTTACTGCTTATAGGTTTCTGTCACACAGTTTAGTGTTTGAGACCAACCAGAGGACATAAGAGACATAAGACATGGGCATGAAGGCAGCTCGTAAAGGAGACACATGCAGAGGTCTCTGGGCTTCTGGAGGAAAGAAAGGCTGTATTTGGGAGGTGAAATGATGCGCTTGGTCTTGAGGAAGGGATAGCACTATTGCAGTGAAACTGAGACAAAGAAGGTCAGTCTGTGTGGACCCCGCATGGATCCTGGGCGGGATACCATATTTCAGTAGTAGGTGAAAACCGACTGCCCAGATCATGTGTAGACGGCAGAGGCAGTCTAATAAAGTGGTTCTGTGTGGGCCCTGGATGCAAGATGCCTCGGTGTGAATCCCTCATCTGCCATTTATTAGCTATGCGACCCAGTTTTCTTATTGCTCTTGAGGACAACCATTACATTTACCTCATATCATAAAAGTCCGATGAATATATATATATATATTCATTTGATTATAAGTTAATTATATCTTATTTAATATATAATCCAATAAAACTATGTGAAGAAGGGCAGTCGAAAGAAAGGGGTTAACATGTGCAAAACAAGACAGGGAAGAAGATCAAGGAGGATTTGGGAAGAAGTCCCATGAGGCTGTAGGATTGTTGGAATGAGATGAGCACCAGTGTCCCAAATGTTATTGGTGATGTTCTTAAGTAAGTATACAAAACGTTCCAAACTAGATTTTTAATGATAACCATGTTTTTATGTGTCTTCACAGATTGTATCGCACTTTCAAGGACAATAAGTATGTGTACATGCTTCTGGAGGCCTGCTTAGGAGGGGAGCTGTGGAGTATATTAAGGGACAGGTAATGGAAAAGGATTATAAACAGTAACCTGTGTTCTCACATCTGACCTAAGGGATGGCTTATTCATGTTCATTTAAAGAGATATAAAGTCATTACAAAATCGTTCTCAGAAAATATTATGACTTGATAAAATAGAAATAAGGATATTTTCATGGCTGACATTATAATTGTGCAATAGACAGCCTATAAGGCAGTCACTGTCATTTCCAGATTAGGGATCAAAGAATCCCAGGCTTCCACAGAGTGTGAGCTCTCCATGATCACATGGTTAGTGTGAGGCAGAGTAGCTATAAACCAAAACGTTATTGATTCCGAATCTCTCCCGGAGACATGAAGAAAGGTGGTGGGGAGTGTGAAGCCCCCACTGAAAAGCAGAATGAGACCTCTGTGAAGGTTCAGTTTTACGAAAGGGGTGACTCCTACATAATCGAAACCACAGATATTTGTTGAGCACTGCCAACGGGGCAAGGCTTCATCGTGGACAGTGTGGATGTTTTCTAGACAATGTAAACTTCTGTAACCAAAAGGGTAAAAAGTATAAACATTTCCTCTGATAAGGTTTAGATTTTATTTGGAGAGATAATATAACATGCAGTTTTACAACATTCCACTATTTTTTTAAGTTTATTAATTTTGAGAGAAAGAGAGAGCGAGCGAGCGAGCACATGTAAATGCACAAGTGGGAGAAGGGCAGAGAGAGAGGGAGAGAGAAAATCCCAAGCAGGTTCTGCACTGAGCCCGACGTGGGCCTCCATCTCTTGAAATGCAAGATCAGGACCTGAGCCGAGATTGAAAGTCTGATGCTTAACTGACTGAGCCACCCAAGTGCCCCAAAACATTTTATTATTTAATGTGTAAACTAAATATTACAGAGAAATTGGCAGTTTGTAATTAAATGCCATATGAGTGGTGTAGATTATAAGCTCAGAGAAGAAAGATAAAAATGTGATGACAGAGGAAAGACTGGAACTAAATTCTAAAGATGAACGAAATCTGGAAAGGTAGTGGGGAAGGTAAACCAATGTAAGGTACGATAGGAAGGTTGAAATAGAATTATGTCTCTTTGTGGATAATTCACAGCAGAATTGGAGTAGGAGGCGAGGCCAGCACAGGGGACGGGAAAGCAGTTTGCATGAGGTTGTGGAGGTTAATGCCAGGCCACACATTTGGACAGTATTGCCTGGGCCGGTGGGTCTCAACCCTGGATTCTTCTTACAATCAGGTGGAGAGCTTTACAAAGTCAAAATGCTGGGCCTTATTGCCAGACGTTATGATTTGCTTCATTTTGGATGGGGTCCAGGAAATGATTTCTAACTGCTTCTCAGGCAATCCCAATGTGCATTCGTGGTAGAGCATTATAGACCTAGGTAATAGGAGACCTTTGAGTATCTGAGAAGAGATAGATGTGTTTCTGTTAGGAAAGTATTTTTGGATGGAACCCAGAAGCATGCGAAGACTTGTGCATGATACCTACAAAAGCATTTGCATCCTCCATTTCTGCTTCCACAGCCAATCTGTTTAGAAATGACGGTGGCTGCTATCTGTTAGGCATTGTGTCTGATTCTCAAAACAGACCTTGTTGAGTGAATAGTAAACCCATTTGACAGATCGGGATCTGAGGCTAGAACAGTCACACAAATTGCCGGTGGACACGGTGATGGCGGAAGCTGGAGTCAAAGCCAGTTTCTCTTATTCCAAAGCCACACCCTTCTTTTACTGCCTGCGGCAAATCACTGCCACATTTTAATAACTCAGTGTGTAAACCCACATACAGTGCTGACATGGGGCAACTCTAATATCACTGAGGTACACGAAACAGGAAAGAGTTATGGCCCCATTTCTACATGGGTTATTGTTACATGCTATACCAATAGGAAATGAAAATGATCACTTGAGTCATTTTTAAGTCAAGCAATAAATTACAGAAGTCTACTTTAAGCTGCCCATTAAAGTAGGTTGCATTTTCTCCAGAGTTTGCCATAAATGTCTAAAAAAGGCTAATTTTCCTTATGTTTTTATTATTTATATTCATATATGATTACCAGAAATGGTTGTTTGGTTGCAGACATTTTCATTTTAACAAAGTACTACTTCTCACTTACACTGAGGATCCCCCTAAATTTCTTTAGCCTCATTCACTGGCAGTACAAAATGCTGTTTAGTGTTGATGCTCTACAAAACATTTATATTGTATACATTTACCAAAGCAACAATTGACATGTAGAATAGACAATAAATATGTGTGTCTCGAGTATTAAGAAGGAAAATGATGTCGTTACAGAGGCAGCTTTGATGAACCCACCTCCAAGTTCTGCGTGGCTTGTGTGACAGAGGCATTTGATTACCTGCACCGACTAGGTATTATCTACAGAGACCTGAAACCAGAAAACTTAATTCTAGATGCTGAGGGTTATCTCAAATTGGTAAGACAAATTCTGTAACTTACAGCCTAGTAAGAGATATTTTCTAAACACAAAGTTGTGTCGTAATTGCAAATTTCTTTTGACTTGGATACGCCGGTTATTTTTACCTTGGGGGATGTGCCCTGTGACATTGGCACAGTTAACACAGGGAGAGGTGTTACGAGCACATTCTTTTTGGCTTAGGAACTTAATACTTCAACCGTTATTTGTGATTGTTACTAAGGATTCACTTAATAGAATGCCTGTGAGTTGGATTTTGTTCATATTTTTGTTTAATAAATTTAAGTAGGTTTTAATACATTCCTGCTACATATAAGGACTGGCTATAAGGAATAAAGCAAGAGAATGATTGTCTTTTTCTTCTGTCCCAAGATAGCCACTATCTGTATAGGGAGAAAAGATACACATATGAATGTTGGTGAGCCTTTTTTTTTTAATCTTTCTAGGTGATTCTAAAGTACAACCAGGGCTGAAAATCATGACACTAGACTCTAGGCTCCTTAGGAACAGAGACTTTCCTTGATATCCATCTTTATAATTTTCTAATGTCTAACTAACATGAATCCCCTGGCAGGTCATACTACAAAAAAAAAAAAAAAAATGCTACCAATCACATAAGCTGCTTTCGGTGGAAACTGTAAGAGAACTGGGCAGTCCTAAGTGAGGAGAAACCAAGGCACTGCAGACCTCAGGAGGGGACCCGGTCAGGATGGGGAGCCCAGGCTGAGTTTTCCTGAGTTTATTTTGTCAGTTTGTCGGGAACATGAAACCATCTCTGAATGTAACATTTACAAAGGTATTAGAAGTTTCTCACATCAGAACTTTTATATATCGAAACAGTAGCTACCATTTTATAAGCAATTTAGTATGTTATGTTTAATGAACTGTGCTAAACATTTTGCCATTAATATATTTAACAATTGATGAGATAGGTTTTATCACCCACGTGTTACATAGAGTAATGTGATTTAGCCTATTCCTGTTTAGCCTTAGGAATTAAATTTATTAGGTGTAATTACTAAGTGATTTCTCTCCATAGTAAAGGAGTAAAATAAGTCCTTTCATGTGAAATCTGGTAAATTTCCAAGAAACGTTTTGATCCACTCAAGCTTTATTTTATCTGTGAAAGACAGCTTTGAGAACTGGTGAGGTACTAACACAGGCCTCAATCACTCCTCTTTCCTCACAATTCCTTCATTGGCTATACCTCTTACAGCTATTTAGGGATACCTTTTGGAATATTCTAGAACTAAAGCCATCATGAATTGTGCAGACTATCCATTTGATTCATTCCTTTTTTTTTTCATAGCTGTTTTTTTTTTTTTAAATTGGGTAGCATATTAGTTATTCACAGACATGGAGGTCAATAAATATTTCTTCTGTTAACCATTATCCATCTAGTTAACTCATTTGCCAACTAGTAAAATGAAGAATGATAACTAAAGCCTTTAGTGATTAAATTTTCAATATTTTCATTTCTGGCTATATATCAAACTGGATGTACTGAAATTCTCTTACTACCAAATGTCTCAAAATAGTGGATAAAACATGAAAAGCAGTACTACGTGCATGGCTGACTTCATAAGACAGCACTGGGTTCCCCTGAGGTGGGAACCAAGCTTGAGCAGGAGTATAGCATAGAACACAAACAAGGAAGCTGCTGTCTTGTGGGCCCCCAGCAGTCCGAGATGACCTAGAGATTTGACTTCAGTAACTGCAGTTTTCGAGAACGGCAGGCCAGGTTTTGGACTTGGGCAGTGTGGGAAGTTGAATCAGAGAACATTTGTAAGAGCCAGGAATCACACAGATTACACTCTCAGAAAAATCGAAAACAAGAAAACTAAAGATTTAATTTATAAAGACAGAGTACATGCAGGAAAACTTGTTTTTCTCATTATTGAGCATTTGATAGAGGAACAGAAGAGTCCCCTTTAAGAATTCTTGGCTATAGGCTCATCTTAATGGAGGTTGGGTGCTCAGTATTCAAAGATGGAAAAATCTGTGCAAGAATTTGAAAATGGATTCATGTTGGTAGCTTTTTAAGAATCTGTGGACATTCTTTCCAGATGAATGGAATCTTAACTCAGGATACAAAGAATTCCCAGAGATAAAGTCCCAGAGAACATGAGCTCACATTAAAAAATAAATAAATACATAAAACAAAAAATATATATGAGGGAAAAAAGTACCATGAGCATTCTTTGACAGACATATAAGTGCCTTGTATATTGGAGTAATCAGACACAGAATTTAAAATTAATGCATCTAATGCCTTTTAAAACATGAGAGAGAGAATGGCAAGTGAGTAAGGAGCAGAGAAATAAATCTAACAGGTTTATAAAAAAACTAATAAACTATTATGGATTTAAGAATATAATAATTAAAATTACATATTCAGGGAAGTTTCATTAATGGTGGAGTTGCTTGCATTGGACTGATTTTCTTGCTGAGATTAATTATAATATATGTGTAAAAATGTGTGGAGGACAGCAACAAAAAGCAAACATTCAGACCTTGAAAAAAGGGAGCTATGCTGGCTGAAAAAATCCACTTTGCTACACCTGTTTATAGCTGTTCATTTCAAGACACACTTCCTTGTATAAGGCATGAGAGATGAACCTTTAGTTAGCATCATTCCTAACAGTGAAATAGTGAACAGTTTTCCATTAGATTATGAACAAGGTAAGAATATTTCTCTTACACTTTTTTACAACATTATAACAGAGGTCTTAGTAAATGTCATAAACCAAGAAAAAGAAATGAAAGGCCAAAGATGAGTAAGGAAGAAATTGCCCATCTTTATTTTCAGACAACATGATTTTATGTGGAAAAGCCTAAAGAATCTACCAAAAAAGTACTAGAAATATTAAGCATGATTACCAGTACAAAGTCAATAGATAAATAAAATTTAAGTCAATTAAGTCAATATATTAAGTCAATTATATAAATAAAAACTCTAATATACTAACTTCAAAATTTTTAAATGAAATACAAATACAACTTATAATAACATAAAAATTATAAAATTGAATACATTTAACGTATAAAAACGTGTAAGACCTCCACATTGAAAACTACTAACTATTGCTGAGAGAAAAAATATAACTAAATGGTAAGGTATACTATGTTCATATATTGGATAATTCAATATTTAAAAAGATGTCCATTCTCTCCAAATTGATTACAAATTCAAAGCCATTGTAATATAAATTGGAGTCGGTGTGTTTTTAGAAACTGAGGTATTTACTTTAAACTTTACATAGAAACACAGAGTTTAGAAAAATTAATAACCACTTTGAAAAAAGAACAAAATTGAAGAATTTATAATATCTGATACTATAAAGCTACAGTAATCAAGGCAGTGTCATAATATAAGATAGACAGATAGCCTCATCTAACAGAATAAAGCCCAGAAATAAACATATATAGTCAGCTGATTTTTAGCAAAAAGGGAAAAGCCAGGCTTCTCAACAGACAATGCTGAAACAACTGGATATGTGCAAAATAAAAATGAACCTGACTTCCACTTCACACAATGTAGAAAAATTAATTCAAAATAGATCAGAGACCTATAAAGCATCCAAAAGTAAGCATACAATAATATCTTCACAACATGGGGTGACACAGGTTTCTTAGACTACAAATAATAATAGTCTTAAAAATTTCAGGCTGCTATAATAAAAATTCATAGACTGGATGACTTAAATAACAGGCATTTATTTCTCATAGTTTTAAAGGTTGGGAAGTCCAAGATCAAAGTGCTGGCAGATTTGATATCTGACTGGTCAGGGACCCCTTCTAGACTGATAGAAAGCTGACTTCTCATTCCTTCAATGAAAGAGAGAAAGAGAGAGGGGGAGACGCACACAAACAGGTCACAGGGGTGGGTGGCTCTCTTCTTATAAGGGCCCTAATTGCATCATGAAGGTTTGACCCTCATGACTTGATTACCTCCTAAAGGCCTTACCTCCAAATACCACCATATTGGAGATTAGGGTTTCAAAATGCACATTTTGGGGAGACACAAACATGCAGTCTAATAATTGGATTTCATCAAAATTAAAATCTTCTCATAATTAAAAGACACTAAAAAATGAGTAGGCATGACGTACACTGCAAGAAAATATATGCAATACATATTTATATGACAGAGGACTTGATTATATTGGGAAATGCATAAATAAATCCTATAGCTAAGAAATAAAAAGACAACCCAATTTAAAACATGTTTACTTATTTTTGAGAGAGAGAGAGAGGAAGAGAGAGAGAGAGAGAGAGAGAGAGAGAGAGAGAGAGGAGAGAATCCCAAGAAGGCTCTACACCATCAGCACAGAGCCTGAAATGGGGCTTGAACTCACAAACTGTGAGATCTATGACCTGAGCTGAAATCAAGAGTCCATTGCATAACCGACCAAGCCACCCAGGTGCCCTGAGACAACCTAATTTAAAAAAAAAAAAAGGTCGAAGATCTTGAAAAATTACGTCAGAAGACATGGAAATGCAAATTAAAACCAAAAAGAAGAACCATTTCATATGTGCTAAAATGACTATAATTTAAAAGATTGACACAAGTGTTGGTGAGAACTTTCTCTCAAATTTCTAGTGGAGAAAGAATTGTAAACTGAATAATAATTTGTCAGTTTTATACAGAGTCAAACATACACCTTATCTCTGACAAAAAATTTGACTTCTGGGTAGAGCCTTCACTCCTTGGTATTTATCTAAGAAAACTAAAATCAAGTCTTCAAAAATCTTGGGCAAGAATGTTGCTAACAGCTTTGTTTCTAGGAGTCCCCAAGTCAGAAACAGCCAAAGTGTCTGTAACCAATTAAATGTATAAACCATTCAGCAATGGACTGCGGCTCAGCAATATAAAGGAATGAATTACAGTAAGCAACATTGTGAATGAATTTTAAAAACTATGTTGACCTAAGGAAGTCAGATACAAAAGAATATCTTCTGTATGATTACATTTATTGATATTCTAGAATAGATGGTAG